GTGACGGGGAACTCCCCCAGGCTGTCGTCGTCGATGCGGGGGTCCGGGAGGGCCCGTTTCTCCAGGGGGTCGGTCCTCAAGAGGGCTTCGAGGCTGCTGCCGTCCTGCGAGATGAGCCCTTCCTTCTTCAGGCTCTGCTCTGCGTCTGAAAAAGAAAAAACACACCAAAAAAAAGATGAAGTCGGGGCAGGACGCCAAGATCCCGACGCCCAGAAGTCCGCCCGGGGCAGGGTTTTACCCGGTTTGATGGAGGGGAAGGAAAGCCTCGGGTCCTCCGGAGGATGAGCGCGCCGTTTCTTCCGCCAGCGGCGCGCGGGGTACGAGTAGAGCTGCCCTGCGGCTAAACCTTCAACCAGAAACACACAAAAAACCACGCGAGATTATCCAAACTGCGGCAAAACCCACCCGAAACGACCGAAACGCTCCCGTCGCGGCGTTTCTCGCCGCCGACCTGGCCCTCGGTGCCGTTTCTCCATCCAGATGTAGCAGTTGCTCTGGGCCACGCCGGTCTGCGAGTCCAGGAAGGGCAGGCGGACGCTCCTCTCGGCGCAGAGCCGGGCGTTGTAGTTGTGGCACTGCTCCATGGCGTCCCGGTAGTACTGCTCGCCGAGCCTTTGGGGGAAAAAAACCCAAAAAAAGGGGTTTTCGAGCTCATCCGGAACGCAAAGAATTCCCCTCGGCCCCATTTCTCACACCCAGAGAGCCCCAAAATCGCTCGAGTGCCCAAGACTGTCCGTTCAGACGAGAGAATAACAAGCCAAAAGGCATAAGGAAGCCCAGGAGGGAGGCGAAATATCTGGGAGGAAAAGGAGTCGGGACACAAAGAGCTTCGCTACGGGTTTCTTTTTAATTATTTATACTTGTAATAGGAAGAAAACCAGAGGGAATCACTGAAAAGAAGGAGATGCTGGTAAATATTAAATTTAAGAGGCAAATATTAAAGGCAAACAGGTCATTTCCTGGTCAGCGACGGAGAAGTGGGGGGCGCAGAGTCCCACCAGATATTAAAAAAGAGGAGAAAAATCCCCAAATTGCCTTTTTCCTCCCCACTGACTGCAGAGGGAGCCCAAAGCCCAGGCTCCAGGAGTTCGAGGCCGTAAATCCCTCTTTGGTTCCTCCTGGATCACCTCGATGGCTCCATCGGAAATAAAAAACCAACTGGAAATGGCAAAAAAAAGTCCCAGGAAATGCACAAAACCCACCCTGGAAATGCCAAAGAGCGCCCTGGAATCATCAAAACGACTCCGGAAACAGCAAAAGAACTCGACAAACAGCAAAAAAAACCCCAAATGAACAAACTCCAAACAAAAAAAGCAACCCTGGAAACGCCAAAAAAAACCCAGAAGGCACAAAAAAATTCTCTACAAACACAAAAAAAAAAGTGCTGGAAACGGCAAAAGAAAGTTGGAAACGCCAAAAAAACCGCAGGGAACACTAAAAAAACCCACAGAAAACTCTACATCCCCCCCTCCAAAAAATATCATGAGACACAACAAAAAAAAGAGTCAACAATCAACCCCGGGGCAGCAAAGTCTGAGGGGAGACACCCCCAAAAAACATCCCCACGGCTCTAAGGGGTAAAATCTGAGGGGAGACGCCCCAAAAGAA